AGAGAGAGAGAGAGAGAGAGAGAGAGAGAGAGAGAGAGAGAGAGAAGAAAATTACCTCTGAGGTAAACTTCAGTGATGTTCTCACTGGTCCTTAAGTGATGCTCTAGTAGAATTATGGTAGTTGGCTGAAACGTACCACACGAAAGTCTGACAGTATATAAGGAAGCCGAAGCAGAGGCTCCTCTGCAGAGACCCTCACGCCTCCACTCTGGCTGGCCTCAGTGGAAGAGGGTGCTCCTGTGGTAATGGTGCGTCACGCCTTCAGGGGAAGCTGCTGACATTCACCACAATGGAAGTCATTGTCTCTAGCTGGCAGAGTCTGTTGTAAGGATCTGTGAAGAGATCGTTAGAGAGAGGCCCCTGGCACGGGTGAGGCTACAGCTTCTTCTTAGATACATGACACAACTTGTCACACCCGAGCAGATGACATATTTGTTTCCAGCCGGAGCTGCAAATTCCCCTAGTCTTCATGTCCCCAAAAGACCCCTTCAGCCAGGTGTGGTGGTACATGCTTATAACCTCGGCACTCAGGAGGCTGAGGCAGAAGGATCCCTGGAAGTTCAAGACCTGCCTCGGCTCCATCGTGAGTTCAGGGCCAGCCTGAACTGCGTAGTGAGACCCTGTCTCAAAATGACAAAACCAAAAATAGACCAGTTCAGGGAGTAAGCCGCAGGCGGGGTGACTTAGTCGCCCACTGGAGGTGAGGGTGTGGTTCCCGGCACAACAGAAAAGGAAGAGCAACAGCTGCCTCCCGGGACAGGTAGGACCAGGCGCAGCGCTGCCGCGGGCATGGCTGAGCATGGTGGTCTTTTGGAGAAGCAAACTAAGGAAACACTGTCTCCCCCCGACTCTTGAGGTGAGCCCTGCTCCAAGAGCACCTCTGCTTGACAGGGAGAGGCAACTGGAAGCCCCGGCTGCCTTCTCAGTCACAGGGACGAAGCCTTTGTTGCCAGAGAAGTGCACAGACTGGGGAGGCCTGTGCCCAGCTGGGAAAGACCAGACTCGGGGGGGCGGGGTGCAGGGCTGGGAAGAGAAAGCCCATGTGCGCCTCCCCACACGCACCCCCATTTCCCCACACGTACCCCCCCATTTCCCCACACGCACCCCCCCATTTCCCCACACGTACCCCCCCATTTCCCCACACGTACCCCCCCATTTCCCCACACGTACCCTCCCTGCACGACATTGCCGCAAAACCCCACTGCCTGGTTCCAGGCCACTGCCCTGCAGCCTGGCCGGCCCAGCGCGGGGTGCAGGGCTGGGAAGAGAAAGCCCATGGCTGGGTAGACACACGCACTGTCATTTCCCCACACGTACCCCCCATTTCCCCACACGCACCCCCCATTTCCCCACACGCACCCCCCCATTTCCCCACACGCACCTTCCCTGCACGACATTGCCGCAAAACCCCACTGCCTGGTTCCAGGCCACTGCCCTGCAGCCTGGCCGGCCCAGCGCTGGGTGCAGACTATCTGAGCAGCCCAGCCAGCGGGCCCTGGGCAGCAGCTGGGGCCCTTCCCCTGCCCCCACAGCCCCAAAGGACAGTCAGTAGCTTTCCCTGTGTGCCTGGGCCACCAGCACCTGGGAAGGAGGGGGTAGCCCCAGATCCCACTTTTGGCCCTGAGAAGGTCAGAGTAGCCTGGTGGCGATGCGCGCTGCGGAGGCACCAGAAGCAGGCGGGCAGCCCTGACCACCTATTCTGAACCATGGGCGTGAGCTGGACAGCCTGAGCGGGGAAGATCAGCACCCAAAGACCCCACAGAATCAGCTCCGTGGCCCTCCGACACCCAGCAGGACCCCACCACACTTACACGCACCATGCCTACTGAGGCTACCAGGGCAGCCCCTCCTCTGTACCCACCGAGGCTACTGGTGCCCCACAGCTGCAGCCACAGTGCCTGCCCAGAGCTTAGTGCCTGTGCCAGAGACACCACAGACCCTGCTGCGCTGGCTGCCGCTGAAGAAACCGCACGGACAGCAAAGCACAGCCCCGAGCCGGTCAGCATAATGAGCGTGCAACTGAAGCTCAAGGCCACGTCCTAAGGACAAAGTGCCGCTCTGTGAGAGCCACCCAAGGGGCCTGGCAGAGCAGCCAACATCTGTGAGAGACATGGGAGGCGGGGGAGGGACACAAACATCTCGACAAAACAAGGTAGCACAATAACTCGCCTGCCACAGACTCCAAGTAAATGGGTTCTTCTGGCATCTCCTGGGAGCACAAAGAGCACAGCGCAAAGTCGATCCTGAGGACTGAAGACCTGCGTGATGGGGCAGAGCAGCTTCCCCGTGCCTCCCTCCATGCCCCGCTAGATTTTCCTAAACATCCGTGGGCAGTGGAGAGAAAGCACATCTGTCCCCTTCCAAAAGGCAGTGACTGACTCCTCCTGTTTCACAGCCTGGCTGGGGAAGTGACGGCCTCCTGCCCAGACTTTCCGGCATGGGCATCAGAACCTCATTCCTGGGAGCTGTCTGCTCAGTGACTTCCAAGAAGCACCCTCTGCAGCTGACCTCAGCGGGGCCTGCAGGCTGCTGGCCGGCCTATCCCTTGGACACAGCGCCTGGGCTCAGCGTCATGGCCTTCTCGGTGATCCCAGTGTTGCAGTGGTGTTTGCCTCATCTGTCACATTCTTTTTTTTGGTCACATTCTTTTTTAACATTTATTTAGTGTGTGTGTGGCCAGCTCAGCCCACCAGGGGGCGCGACTGGCTGGCATGTGGGGCTGGGGGATCAAACCGCGGTCCCTGTGCTTTTCCAAGCTTGTTCCAAATAGGTGCTTTAGACCACTGAGCCATCTCTCCAGCCCCTTTGGTCACATTCTTATATGACTCTGTCTTCCATCACTAGATTGGGTGAGGCCACACGGACTGAGCTGCCATCTCTGCTGGTTGGTCTGCGGCATCCTGGAAACCTGCGTTATGTTGGGAGTTTGCTTGGGATGATGCACGGCCCATTCTGGGGTAGGTGTTCTGAAGGGCTCATACCTGTCAGCAGCAGTGCTGCCTCTGCACAGTGGCCACTCGGTGCAACGCTGTGTGCGGCACTGGGGCCGTGCAGAGGGAGGTGCGGGGACTCCTGTCCCTCCCAAACCCCATGGCTGTCCTTCAGCAGTGTGGGAAGCGCTGTAGACCACATGAGGTCTGAGTCATCGAGGCTTGTGCTGCAGACCATGGCAAAAGTCTGGGGAGGCTGAGACAGGAGGATCACTACAGTCTGAACTGCACTGACCACTTTCCTGTTGAAGCGAGGTCCAAAGGGCCCAGCCTACCCAATGCCTAAGTCTTGGAGGAGGCCTTGGGGATGGGTGTGGACTGCATAGCAAGGCTCTGTGTGGGGCAAGGACAAGGAGCACTGTGCGGAGGGCAGGTACATGCTGCAAGCCAGGAACACTGCAGCGAGGGCCAGAGGGAGAGCCTTCCGCAGGCGGAGACCCCAGGAATGGACAGCCATTATGCAGAAACTGTGTTTATGTTACTTTATTAGACCTTGTCTTGGCATCGTGACTTCCTCATAATGCACATTAGGAAAAATGATTGATTGATTGACTGATTTTGAGACAGGGTCTTGCTTCTAGAACTTGTGGTGCTGCTCCTGCCTCAGCCTCCCGACTGCTGGGATTACAGGCGTGTGCCACCAGTCCTAGTGAAAGTTTTTAGCATTAGTAGTGATAT